AGGACCGCTGAGATAGGGGGAGATCTGGGAGATCTGGGGAGACATCGTCCAGTTCGTCAAGGACCGCTCGAGATAGGGGGAGATCTGGGAGATCTGGGGAGATATCGTCCAGTTCGTCAAGGACCGCTGAGATAGGGGGAGATCTGGGAGATCTGGGGAGATATCGTCCAGTTCGTCAAGGACCGCTCGAGATAGGGGGAGATCTGGGAGATCTGGGGAGATATCGTCCAGTTCGTCAAGGACCGCTGAGATAGGGGGAGATCTGGGAGATCTGGGGAGATATCGTCCAGTTCGTCAAGGACCGCTCGAGATAGGGGGAGATCTGGGAGATCTGGGGAGATATCGTCCAGTTCGTCAAGGATCGCCCCCATATCTCCCCATATCTCCTCATATCTCCCCCATCCTCCAGTTCGTCAAGGATCTCCCCATATCTCCCATATCTCCCGTATCTCCCGTATCCCCCCATTCTCCAGTTCGTCAAGGATCGCTCGCCCACGCGCACCGGGGCCTGCGCTCTCAAGGAAGGGAAGGGGAGGGAAGGGGGAGGGAGAGAGGGCGGGGGGGGGGAGGGAGAGAGGGTGGGGGGGGGGGGGGGGGGAAATTTCCCCACCCCCCCCCTGTGGACCTGAACGGACCCCCCCTGCCAAACTGGGGAATTGCCCCTACCCCCCTTGAAACGCCCCACACACCCCGTCTGAGAGGTGCACGCGGCCTGTGCTCACCGTAGGACGTGCGCGCCGGCAAGCCGCACATCGGCAACCTGCCCCCCCCGCCCTGGGCGCCACTTGATGGGGAGGCCGATGTTTTTCTTTTTTTGTGTAGGCGGGCTGCCTGCCCTGGCGCAGGTCCGAGGGCCCCCCCCCACTTGATTGGGAGGCCGCGCGTTCTACTCTCTTCGTAGGCGGGCTGCCGGACCTGGCCGAGTCTGAGGTTGAGGGCGCAAAGGTCGAGCTGTGAGGCGGGCGGAGGCGGCGAGGCGTGTCGCGGGGGTGAGCCTAGGGGTTAGCCTACCGACGCTGATATCGCTGTCGTGTGGCGGGGCTCTTCCGACACACTGCGTGTCCACTCCAGATACACACAGCACTGACGGTGTGTGGTGTGTGTAGAGAGAGACAGTGATAGTATAGAGTGATTCGCGGGAGATCTACGGCTCCAGTGCCACCCGCCGCGGGGCGCGGCGGGGTGGCCCGAGGTTCGCGGTTGAGGGGCAGTATATGTGTATCTCCTGCGTGTGGCCGCTCGCCCGGGGCGCGCTGTTTAGTGTGCTGCCGTTGCAAGCAGCACAGGTGGTTGCGTGCTAAGGAATAAATACTCACGACGCGCCCCGCGGATCGTACTGAACACCGTGACACATGCCGTCAAGCGTCGTGCGCGGTAAAGCCGTAGGACGTCTCATGGTGAGAACTCCTCCGCCTCCGGCAGGCGCCGCAGCCGGGTGCAATACACGTTCTCCACGCCGGCGCCCTCGACCTCAAAGGTCTCGAGCGTCTCAAAGTGCGCCGCCGCCTCCTCGAGGAAGATGGACTCGGTGTAGCGGGTGGGGTACGTGAGCATCACCTCTGTCTCGCCCGGCGTGCTGAAGGTGACCAGCGTCGAGAGGAGGTCGTCAAAGGCGTTTGGAGCGTAGAGCACGTCGGAGCCGCAGATGAGGTCGAAGGCCCCCTCCAGCCCAAGGACGCACTCCTCGTCGTCCTCGCAGCCCCACACCAGCTTGGCCACCCGACAGCGGCCGCTCAGGCTGTTGGCCGCAATGTTCTCCTCGAGCAGCAGAACGCACTCCTTGTCTGCGTCGCTGCACACCACCTGCGCGCCCGCCGCCGCCGCGCTGAGCCCTCCGACGCCCGTCCCGCTGCCCAGCTCCAGCACCCGCTTGCCAGCAAGCGCCGGAGAGCTGAGCAGCATCGAGAGCGCCAGCCCGGCGTCCCAGATCCGCGCGCCCGAGTCGATGCTGCTCGCGGCGCCCTCGG